TGGGTGGCCATGGCTCCAGAGAACGGATGATTCGAGACCTTGGAAAGGGCTGGATATTAGGGTACCGGCAGAGGCGAAGCGGATATTCCAAGCTGCTATGACAACGTGCCCGGAAACGAAGGAATGGCTATTTCACATGCTTGAAACGCTACCACATGAAGAATTTACGAAGATCATCATTACTTTGTGGGCAATTTGGAGCGCAAGACGGAAAGCAATCCACGAATCGATCTTCCAGAGCCCGGAGGCAATTCATGGTTTCATCATGAGATATCTAGCAGACCTGGACATCATCACCGACGCTTCGCAGAAGCAAGGTACAACTATGCCACGGTCAGTGCAGGTGCCAAAGTGGATCCCACCAATGGAAGGTTTGGTTAAAATTAATGTAGATGGAGGAATAGCCAAGAACAGTTGCAAGGGTGCGGCGGCCGCCGTGTACCGAGACGCCCAAGGAGTTTACCTTGGCTCGTCCACACGCATCGTTGACATTTGTGATTACCCCGGAACGCTTGAAGCAATGGCACGTTTGGAGGCTCTTTCCCTCACAGCCGATCTGAACCTCCGAAGGCTTATTATTGCTTGCGACGCGAAAGAGGTAGTTAAACAGATTAATGGAGGAAGTAAAGCTATCTACAGCCAGATTCTACATGAGATCAACATCCGTCGTCAGGAGTTCGAAGAGGTCCGGATTATCCATGAATGCAGAATGTCCAATATGGAGCCTCACAATTTTGTAAAAAGCATTGTATCATTAGCCCATGGTCGATATAACTGGCTGTTGCAGCCGAATGACACTACAATTGTATTATCAGGCAATAAAGAGACCATTATTTCCCTAAAAAAAAGCTAGTGCCGACAACGCGAGACACTATGCTGATATAGCCTAGAAATCCAAGGCCCCCTTGAAATGTTGATTCTTCATTTGTATGACTTCTGATCGCCTGGCCTAGACGAGGCCTCCCACACCAGTCGGCATGCCCCTTCTGTGATCAAGGCGACGAGACGATAAACCACATTCTCCTTACCTGCGTGCTAGCAAGATCAGTATGGTTTGCCGTGCTCTCGGCCTTGGGCAAACCAGAGTGGGCGCCTTCCCCGGATGCCCAGCTTGTCGTGTGGTGCACCTCATGCACGACATCGAATCCACGACGAAGAGACATGAACACACTCCTAGCTTTTTGCTTGTGGGAGCTACGGAAGCACAGGAACGTGGTTGTGTTTGATGGGGCCTACCCCTCGGCTGCTTCAGTTGTATCTTGAATTGAGACCGAGGGTAGAGTGTGGAAGCTAGCAGGAATGTTCAAGGACGATCGCTCGAACTTCCTGGCTATGCTTGGTGGGTGGAATAGGGCGAGTAGTTGACTGTTATGTATGGCCTTTGTTGGCCGAATGGTGGAGTAGTGTTGTAACTACGTGTAAAACTCTTTCGGGCGGACGGGGCTCTTTTCCCCACCTCTCTCTTTAATGCATGATATGCACACTCGTGCATATTCTAGAAAAGAAGTATGGTATCGAGGTACGTAGATCTGCCGGTGTTCTCACACATTGTAACCTACTCTAATGCAGGCCTCCCTAAACGCATTCCATAAGAAGGTAATAATTTGGTCAGTCTTGTTAGGCAAGGTTGCCACGACACTTAAGGTCAGCCTTTAATCGTCCCAGGCGAGAGACTGTGAACAGACTGATCAGGCTTTCTAGGTATCTTTCTAGTGTGTTGCTTCGAAGTGCTAGTTGAAGAAAGAAAGAAAGAAGTTTGGACGAAGATGCAGCAGAGTGGTGCATACAAGATAGAAAGCTTTCCACTGGAACGCGTCCGGCCGTGCTGGCCTGCTCCTGCACGGAGGCATTTTCTATTACAGCTGTGTTTACAAGTTAGCCCTTTAATAATGTGTTTAAGCCTTTACCTTGATGGCAGGAACTCCAAGTTCCATCTGGTTCAAGTGTGGAGCCAAGACACAAGACAAGAGAGCCACTACAAGTACGAATACGACTTGTTCAAACCATGGATGCAGAGAAATTAAAATACTGATTGGGATCTATTAGTTGGCCGTCACTGGAAGGCCGGTCAGGAACACGCTTTAGACTTGGAATTAGACAGCTAGTGAAGACCATTTCCTTCTTATCCAAAGGC